TACTAAGGATCAGAAATCAATTGGACATCAGTATTCCTGATTGTACTTAGATGTCAGGCTTTATGAGTCTTAATGTAACTGTTAAGATCCATGGAGACGTATTGTCAACTTTAGTATTTTCTGTTATTCCACTTAGCAATGATTAAGATCCATTCCATGAGATACAGATGATAATTTACCATCTTTTATCACAGCATGAAATTGCTATTTAGGGCTCTTTTGTCCAGTTCATCTTTATTTCATACAAGATAACTGAGAAGACCTCCTAATTCGCTTTTAACATCAAAATGATTGTCAGCCTTAAAAAAAAAAATAGGAGGGAGAAAATTGAAGTGAGAAATCACCTCATAACCTTTTTCTGTGAATGCCACACTGCCGTGAAAAGGACTGAACTTTCTTAATGCTTCATTTTTAACAGAAAGCATGACAAAAATTTCCTATCAGTATTTAAACTGCTAAGATTTGTCAAACACAAGTGGGAAAATAGTGTTTGAATAGCAGTTTCATTTTGTCCTTAATGATTATGGGAGGGGTTTTTTTGCAAAGAGGACCTCAGCAATAATAGATCATCTCTGCACTGAGTGACAGGAATTCTTTACTGTGCCTTGTGATTTCAGGTAGAGCACAAATGTGTGCCCATATCTGTTCAGAGCTGGCAAAGGCCAAATTCTATCCATGGTGTAAATAGTGTGAATGCCACCAGCCTCTAGACTGTGTGTGGCGCACACCTCCCACCCTGCTCTACCCTGCCCTGTGACTTCCTATCTCCTGGCTCCTGGGATGGGCAGCACTATCCATGCTCTCTCCTCAGTGCCCTGTGCAGTGGTGAAGGCAGCTGCCCTGCCTGGTGACCTGTGGTGGGTCCACACTCTTTGCTGAGCCCAACAAGTGCTGCTTTCTCACCAGAGGCTCCTCAGCCTCCTAATCTGTGACTCTGGGCATCAGGACTGGAGGTATATGAGAGTGCTGCAGTCTTGCATTTGGTGCCCTGTGTTAGAAAATATTACCTTTCTTGACTTTTCAGTGGGAAGGTACAGCAGATCAGTGGGTTAAAGTAAGATGTCCAAATTGCAGCTGAGAGACAGAAAGACAGGGAGTTGATGGGTCACCTTTCCATGACAACAACATCAAGAAACAGCTGCTATTGAAATGAAATATTGGTTGTTCCTAGCTCAGAGTCAAATACCCACCCAGCCTCTTGCTCACTCCACTCTCCCGTGGGACTGGGAGGAAATAGAAGGAAGGCAAGACTAATGGATTGAGATAATGATAGTTCGTGGTTACTTGGCAAGATAAACGCCATAAACCCAACTGTCTCCCCCTTCTACTTCTTTCCCTGAACTTTTATTGCTGGGCACAGTGTCCTATGGTAAGAAATACTCTCTCCATCAGCTGAAGACACCTGTCCTGGCTATGTCCACTTCCAGCCTCTTGCCCACCTCTGGCTTACAAACTTTGGATTTATCCAAAGCCACAAATGCAAAACACGACAAAGGAAGTTGACTCCTTGCATCACATGCCTGGATAAATATGCCTGTTCTGAGGTGATGGTTTGTGTTTGACTTGGTGTTTTCCAGACTGTCTTTTCCACAGGTGAACTCATGTTCTTAATTTACCATATGTGAATCCATTGTGTCTTCAGACAAATCAGGGGAATTATCTGGATAGTTCGTGTGCAGTAAAACTTAGGTCCTCATATTAATACTATGCTACAATGACAAGTACATTTATTGTTCTACTTGGAGATATTCTGTGGATTACAACTTCCTGTATGTGGAAGATTTGAATGCATTGTCTTATTTGTTAAACACCTTTTCCTAGAGTGAATCAAACAATTTTTCATAGAACAATCTTCTCTGAGTGTGTTTCAACAAAATTGGAATATGTTAGAGTACTGGCAGATTTCAAATACATTATAACCGAAGAACTACTAAATAATTTATTTCAGCTCTTCTGTCTTCTGAAACATTTATTTAGATCTGTTATGTGAGTTTTAAAATTATTATTATATTCAATTATTATATTACATCAGCTGGTATCTAGTCTGATAATTTGCTACTGCCTAGGCTGGTTTTTTCAAGACTATCTTGATGTCTACTAATAATATATTTTGAAAACTTACTTTCAAAAAATGCACGGAGATTTTAATTGTCATTACAATTCAGAGCAAAGCATTTCTAAATGCGTTGGACTGCCTGTTTTTCTGACTAGCAATTTATTACTGCAGAACTTTCACAGTCGGTCAATAACATAATTTTTGACTTTTTTTTCTTTCTTATACATTGGAATTTGCCCTGGGTGCTACAGCATAAGTCAATTACACTGCCCAAATGTAACTCTCTTTGGTTTCCCTGGGAAATTGAAATGAGAGAAAAAAATGTCAGAGTTCAGAAAAAGAAAACCGATCTAGCACAATTCTGTTTCCTCTGTACAGATTTTGCATTATCTTAACAGCAGTTATCACAGAATCACACTGTGCTTTTTACCAGCTTTACCAGAAAACTGTACAAGCACAGATAAATCTACTTGTAGTCCAGGTGACATTAAATTGAAAAGAAGGTAAAACAAATCAGGTTTTGTCTCTTATGGGTGTGTATCATAATAAATGCAACAAGACTTGACAAGATTTGGTTTTGTTGATGTCGTTAGTAAATTGTTTGCAGAGATCTAAGTGACCTTCTGACAAATTTTATATTAAAACTACAGGGAATTGGTACTCATTTGAGTGTTTGATGTGGAAAACCTCTCTGTGCAATCTTTCAAAAGAGTGTATTGAAGTCCTTGCTACCTCTGGGAACGATGGTGAAGAACAAACCACGAATCTACAACTTCAGTACAGAAAATAATGACACAAATAGCAAATGATTCATCTTGCCACGGTTGGCTGAGATTCTTGTGCTGGAAAGAATTCAAATCTTCCTGGAGAATGTACTAAGACAAGGCTGTTTCTAGCTTTGCATCTTCTGTGAATCACTTCATATCTGCAAGTTTCTTTTCTAGGCTCCACAAAACTAGTGAGATATTGACAAATTGGATGGCTGACAGATTGAACAAATCCATGAAAGGGAATTCATAATTGAAAAAGAAGCCTTGAGGGAAATGGTTTGTGAACATAAGTAAAATTATATTTTGTCTTAATGCTGACTAAGATGAAATATGAAACACAAATTTGTAAAATCCTACTGAGGGCATGGGACTCATCAAAAAAACAGACAGCATGAGGACACTTTCAATACAGACAGCTCCAACTACCTAACAAGGCTAACAAAGGTCTGGAAGTGCCCTTTCCTTCCCCTAGCATTGCATGCACTCAGAAACCATGATTTTGAAAATTATTTCTCCTTTCAGTAACCACTCTTCTCATATGGTGTGGAGTTTTAGTCCGCTGCTTTGGACATGTAGCAATAAGGCTGCAGTGTGCTTTATAAAGCTGGTCTAGACCTGGGTTAAAGAATGCAAGAGTAGTTTCTCAGCAAGGTAGAATGGGATGAAATTCCTACAGGCATTTCTTACAATTCTATGTTGAGTATAAGAAAACTGAACTGAACACTGAGCTGGGTACAGACCCTCTCCCTCCACCCCGAATGTGGTTAAAGCAATAGTTCTTGGCTCCTGTAGCTTAGTTTCTTATGAAAAGTATATTTAAACATTCTTCCTTGTGGTTCTGCTTGGAAAGAGCTCCTCTAAATAAACCACAGAACTTTGTTTAAATCTGACGTGTGCCACAGTCAAGAAATCTGATTGACAAGGCAGGTGGTATGCTGGGTCTAGTGTGCATCTTTCACATCCCAAAGTCAATTACACTCTTATTTTCCTTCATACTGAATATGACTGCTGTGATCTAGGGGACTTATAAACCATGTTTCCTGTTTATAAAACACTTTGTCTGTGCAGGACTTAAAATATGGAAGACTTATCCATCATTTCAGATCCAAAGTAGAATAAGAAAATTATAACAAATTTAGCTGAGGAGCAGTTTAGTTTCAACCAGAGGTCTAAAAGACTTTTAGGTCAACTTCTTGACTTTTAATGTCAGGAGAGGATTACTTATTCTTTTCATATCAGAAAGGGGAAGAAGTTGCTGAGCACAGAAATCTTAGCTGCATTTAGGCTCTGTGGTTGGAAAAGATCCATCAGAAAATCCTGTCTCCATCCTGCTGTCTTGCAATATTCACAACTGTCTCTATTGAATGTACCTAATGCAATTGTTGAAAGGAAGGAGTAAGACAAGCCTGGATGAATTATACATGCCTTCCCCCTCTGAGCTTATCCCCTCATTTCTACACTCGATCCACTGCTCTGCGTGTCAGAGTGAGAATGCAGTTCATGGAAGCATCTCCACTGCTGACATCCTCATAAATACTGAGATGCCCCAGCTGAGGTGTGCTCGCAAAAGAAAGAAAGACCATCTACAACTGCTTCATGAAAGCACTAAAGATTTCCACATAGTATGTGTCAATCAGTTAAGTCTTAACAGGAGTGCGTATCAAATTTTGGCCCTGCTGATAAGTATAAGTATTTCCCAAGGCTAGAGCAGAGCAGAACTAAAATTACACATGCTCTGAGTTTGATTTTTTTTTATTGGAAAGGAAAAGGACTGAGATTTGCTTCTGTTGTCAGTCTAAAACAAGATTTATGATAGCCTTGTACAACAGGAACTTGGTGTTTCCAGAGTTAAGAAAGCAATTAATAAATAATACCACTTTTATTGATAAATAACACCCCCCCTCCATCTAAAGAAAACACAAAATCAGAGGCCTGCATTTTGTCCTGTAAACAAAGCAACATAGGGACATATTTATGAATAAATCTTTAACTCTGTTGCCAATATTTTTAGTGTGAACTTACTTGAGGTGTAAATATTTAATGCTTCTTTTCACTGCATTACTATTTATTTTTCTGTGTGTGAGTAGTCATCCTTCAATATTGTGAACCAGGTAAATAATGTATTACTTAGTCATGAAAAATGCCAGAGGAAAATAAATGAGAGGATATCTTACCTTTGGTCATCACAATGCCTGCAAGAGTTTTGTGGCGTGCATGCATGGAAGTGAAATTGTCTGTCAGTTCCTGGAACTTCTGTGCAACCATTTGGTATACGGAGTCAGCAAAATCCTGAAAGACACAGTCAGAAAGAACTTTTTCACTTCTTTGATTGAGGAAGTTGGGCGTTTCTGCAGATTATCCACCTGCTGCCAGCAGCTGAGAGGTCCCTTTTAGAATTAGCACCACCTACCTGAGCAAAGCTACAGTGAGTCTCTCTCCTTTGACTACCTACAGCACCCTCAGAAATGGCCAAATTAACTGCACTACAGCTAAGAGACCCACGTTGACTAGGATTGGGGGTAAAGGGAGAAGACTTCAAGGCTGACCTTTTTTTCAGTCTCTTAAGACACTGGTCTAGATCACCTCACAGGAACTTAAAGCACTTTATTACAGTGAGCTGAAGAGGCGGATGTGTGTCCTACCAAACCGCTTATTTCTGTGAGCCCACTGAAAATTTCCATTAGCCCACTGACACCTGAGAGCTGATCTGAGGCCTGGTTTATAGGTAAAGACCACCTATTTCTGCAATCAAGGTGACTTTTTAATGACTCACAGCTACTATTAAGGTAAAGTGATCAGCTCCGGAATTTGTCAGAGGAGTACCGTGGTCTGTCTGCTTCTACCTTGAGAGAGACTGGGAAGAAGGGAAGGGGAACCTGTGCCTGCACATCCTACCAAAGATGTTGCTTGCAGTTCACAGTTATGCAGTAGTGCTGAGGGACTGGTCTGCCATGTCTCCTCCAGAGCACAGCAGCTTTGTTAGAAAGGCAGATTTTCCCACGGACTGGGCACTAGAGACTGTGTGGTCTGAACCCTCAGATATGAGTGAGTCCAATCACCAGGGAGAGTCTTGGGAAGCTGGTTACTAAAGCAAAGTAGGTTGAAAAGGTCTAAAAAGTGAATTCTGCGGAATGTGTATGGATGAACAGGAAACTAAACCAGTTTTGGTGCTCCTGAGAACACTACGACTTGGAATGGTTCCCTGCTGCAATGTTTCATATCTTTTCATTTACTTAATCTCTGCACTTTGTTTGGCACTGTGCCTCTCAGGCATACATTAGAGATAAGTCAGTGGAATGCTCTTTGTAAGCATGAGTTGTTCTTAAAGTGCTTTGCAAGTCTGAACATAAAAAAATAGCATCCCAAGGATTTTTTTTAAGCCATATGATTTCTTGAGGGGAACCAATCTGTAACTAAAAATCATTCTGGGAGCAGTTCCTGGGAGCTGGAGCTTACTCTGGAATGCTTATAGAGATCTCCTGGCATCCTGAAGTCTGGTTACCCACAGGTGATTGAGCCTTTCCTAGGAAAAGTGGCTTGACCAAGCAACAATTCCAGTTTTTCTTCTGGTGTTGGGATATACTACCTGAGAGGAGGCTGTGGTAAAACAGACCTCCTTGAGTTCAGCTGGTTTCTTTAAGTGGGTTCATGGCACACACAGAGGAGATGTTGAGTCTGATACACAACTTCCCTAACCGTGAAATATCCACAGAAATGTGGAAATAAGGAAATGTATTTAAGAAGATCATATCCATTCTTTTACTCTCCAGACTGCTAATGGCAACGAAAGCATGTTGGGGAAAACACAGTATTTTAAACTGGGAGAACACACAGCTATTTTTCAGAGGAAAGCAGGTTGTAATTCACAAATATCAGCAACGTTACTGTCATTAAGTGCATCTGCAGGCTGTACACCATATGTTTCTACAGTTTGTTGTGGAAATTCAGTTTAATTTTAAACATTATTATGGCAAACGTAAGAAAATCTAATTAAATAAAACATAACAACAATTAGGCAACCCCCTTTTCATAAAACCTGGAATATTTTTTCTGTGTACAATCCTTGTAAGTGATTGCAATTTACTCAAATACATAGATGATAGGATTTCTTTGACACAATAATTTGTCTTAATTTTGCTAAATGTAGCTTTCCAAAATATTGTTCTGGGATCAAACCATTTGCCCAAAAACCAGTTTAATTTAACATGGAATAAAATATGCTGGCTTTTTTCAAAAGAAGAAGAGAAGCACATAAACACTTTCTGGGAGATTCATGCAAAATTCTACACTAGTATTAGATGAAAACTAAGCAAAATTATCAAGAACAGCTTGACAGTTCCTAAATGGAATTTCACTTTCACTGCATTTATACCTCTTCTAATCTAATTGTCCACAATCACTATGTGAGCAAGGTATTGTTAATACAGTGCTTCTGAAGGATGAGTTTTGGGTCAATTCTCATTTGTCAAGCATCAAGGCACCCTTGTGATATAAATGCAATTATGGTTCCTTTACAGATGAATGAGTGAAGGCACTAAAAGGGTGAGGGACTGATCCAGGGGAATAGCATGGAGCTGGGCACAGCCAGGTGTTCTGATTTCCTGATGCTCTGGTTAAGTGCTCAGCGCTGGAACACTGCCTGTCTTTCATAATATGAAAGTTTGTTTCTCAACTTGTTTTCCCTACTGAACAGTGACTTCATCCATAACGGAAAACTAAAGTGTGTTTGCAGAACTGATATAACTGGGCCCCATATGGTGGACTGAAAATCTGATCAGCTTTATTTAGACTAGAAAGAAAGATGAGGGGAAAAAATGAGTATCTCAATAAAAATATCTGCACCATCATTTAAAAAAAGAATCAAATCATAAATTTCATCTCCTGCAGTATTGCAGTCCAATCCATGCCTGTATTTCTAGAGTACCCTCCAAATCTGCATCCCAGGGCATTTTGCTCTCATTAAGAGTTAATTAGCTTAGAGGCACATACAATTCCTAAAAGAATCATTTTAAAAATGCTAAACAGAACAAATAACTTTTAACTTTGGATTTAGAAATCCCCACAGTCATGGCTTTCTTTACTTCATTTGGCAGTGGGTTCCAAAGCCAGAGAGCAAAGAAACTCACTAAAGGCAAAATAACGACATGACTTCAGATAGCATTTAAGGACGATAAGAAATTCGGCATTTGCTGATCTCTAGGAGTGACCTGGGACATTAAAGAACAGCAAATCCATTAAATATGAAGCCTCTTAGCTAAAATAAGTCAGGCGAACATTTTTTTGTCTTGAATCCATTGCCTAAAAGGAAGCCAGTGAAACTAATAGAAGCAAAGGAGTGACATACATGAATATATGTAGGATGCTGGAAAAGCCACCAGAAACAGTGCCTAATCTAAGAGGTCATTTCCAGGCTATCTTATTGCCCTAAATTTCCAAATGGATATTCCAAAGTAAAGTGGAAAGGGGGAAAAGGAGTAGTTTATTTTGCAGACAGAGAAAAATAAGAAGACAAGAGATCCATGACTCAACCCTGAAGAGATTTGATGCCCTGAAGATTGATCCTTGTAGTGCAGCATTAATTTAGGGGCTTTGAACACTCCGACCCTGAAAGCTGCCCTGGTGACAGAGCTGGGTATGGTGTTAGGTTCCTTGCCTATACTTATACACACAGCACCCTGCTTTCCCCTCTAGTGCACACCAGAACAGCTATTTGGCTCGACCTTGTTCTGTGCAGTGAAATCAGTGACAGCATTTCTGCCTATTTAGAGCCTTTAGACTGGTTCTCCATGCTTCTGTGAAACACAGACTGGTTACAAATATATCTAATGCACACAGGAGAGATATGGTGGAGATAAGAGTCACTACATTTACCCCTGCTCAGTTTAGAACGACAGATTTAATTCCAGAGATTTTCTAGCTTTACTTTTAAACAATAATCCCAGACTACTAAAAGATACATATCCAGATGGTCATTCCTGATGGGATATAAACCATAAAAATCCAACTATTTACAGCTATTGTGAGCCTCACTGAATTTTCAGGATACAGGCTAGACTATGTTATCTGCTGTCAGAAATAACTTACAAACCATGCGCAAAAGGAATGGTTCTTTTGTTCTATCAAAACAATCTCAGAGAAAAGTTGTGTTTGGTGAAACCACAGTTTTTACTGCCAGATATGAGTGAAAATAAAAGTCTCCATCTGGAGCAAGCACAAGAGCCAAATACATCTTGGCAGCTTCTGAACAGCTATTAGGTTGGTAGAAGACAAAGGGAAAATTTCTGAAGATGAGGGAAAAAGAAGAGTAGGAACTTTCCTTGTGAAAGAGTAGTTCAGTGCATGCAATCGCTCTGGTCACATAAGGGCAGAGAAATCACAGCTCAGGGCAGGGGATGGGGTGAAAAAAATTAAAAGATACAATTAGAACTCTAAAAATTTTTGCTGGAATACGTGGCAGAATAGATACTCAAAAGCTGCTTGAGTACTGGAATTAGGAGGGCTTCTGCTTAGGGCATTAATCCCCTTGGAAAACTGTGGTCTGATACAAATTGCCACTGAAGCCAGTGGAAGTATTTCTGACTCTAAGATGTTCCAGATAAGGCCCAAGTGGCAAGGATGGGAGCTCAAGCATGCCCATGCCCTGGCCAGGCACGGTGAGCTCAGCTCAGGGTATTGGGAGTAAAAAACCACAACTCTGGAGAAGAACTGACCTTCCAGGGGCTGAGTTATTTTCAAATCCCATGCTTTGCTTTGCCTGCTATCAAAATCTTACCTTTCACAGGTCCTCACATAGATTCTTCTGTACAAACAATATTTGTCTCAGAGAGAATTTCTTTGAGATCAAAACTTTGCTCAGTCTTGTGAATACAGTGAGTGATATGAGTAAGGCAAAGAAGATTGCTGCACCCCCACTGAGGGGTGAATCTGCCCTTGGTTGGACTCAAACCTTGCACATTGCCTAAATGCTTACTGCCACTGGTGGAAGCAAGTTTCTTGTTCAGGCAGCTGGCAGAAGAAAGAAAATGTAATGCTATACTGTTCACTGTGAAAAAAGACTGAAAGATTCTGCAGTACTTAATGAACTATATTTTAACATATACAGGGAGGCTGGAAAAATGAAAAATAGGTGTCATTACTATTAAAACTGCACTGTGCTGTCTGAAGTATTCATCTGTCCTTGATTACCATATCAAATTACTTGTGTTATTCACAAAGGAAAATCAAACTTTAGATCATACCATTACAGAACCAGAAACTTTTTAGTGATTTCTTGGCACTAATATTTCAAA